AGGAGGACATATCATTCTAGCAAGGCAACTTTTTAAAGACATTAAATGAGTTTTCTACATGTGAGGCCTGACATTTCAACCACTTTAAGTTTTACCATCATGAAAAACCATACATAGATACTACTAACCACATGGATATGGCAAAACAAAACACTCATTCTGAGTATCAAAGTTAACTGGTAACAAAACTCTTAAACTCTAGCTGCGGATTATAGGACATGTTATGATTTCTGAGAGCAGGGCATTTGTCTACTATAATGTTTGTGTGCGCGCTTGTGTGTGTGTGGGGAGGGGAGTGGTAGCAACTTCTTACATACAACCTAGAACAGTGACAGGTCCAAGGATTAAAATGAATAGGAGTCAGACAAGTTGCATGGAACTGGTTTATCTGCACAGAAAGAATGTATCTCCTGTTTATAAGTCGTAATAAGGACAAAAAATGAATGTAGTTATTTTATATATTTCAATGTAGTTCTTAATAATAAAGTTGCATGATACACAGATTGTATTTATATACAGGTCCTTTTGAAGGGACTCTCATTGGTGATAGCTGACACCTGATCTGAAGAAGATTACATAATTCTCCTCTGCCAGAAAGTACAGTGGGGGGCATAACTGGACATTCTCTTGTTCTTGAAAACAGAGACAGAAAAACAAGAATTGTTTCTGATGTATTGACACACTGCAAGCTGACACTGATCACCCGAGTTCTGTTGCACTATAACTGCTGTGCTTGAGGTGCTAGATAAACTGTATTTATGTTACCTGTGTAAATAGAGATGACAAAACTAGTACTACACCCAACCCTCCCTCTCTGTGCTCTTTCCATTTCCGCGCTTCATACTACCTTAAGAGCAAATAATACAGTGAAAAAAGTAAACTTTTCATTATTTCACTGTTGCATCGGTTTTTTCTAATCTGGGCTGGTATATATGAAAAATCTGTGGCAAAATAATATTGATGAAAGGCAAATAAATCCATGCACTCTGTACGTAATGAAGGCTCTGAAACAATTCTGCATTGCTTTCTTTTCATATAGAAAGGCATTGGTCTTTTTCTACTCTTGTTACGGCAATGTATGTTCTCATTTAAGGATCATCGACCTAGGAGGCAGGTAATTTGTAAACAATGTATCTACATCGATTACAATGTAAAAGACCGGATGAAAGAATTTGGCCTGCGATCGATACAAAGTATCAAACTGTAGCCACAATTACAAACTCATAGCTCACGCAAGTCTTAACAAACCAGTTGCTTTTAAATTATTCAAGCCGCTAAATTCTTCATGTCACGATATAAACAGTGAAGCCAAACTTCTGGTCGATTTTAACGAAGCAAACCAAAACAAATCACCTGTATTACTCTTTCAAGGCGATGATCGCGTTCCTCGGAGCTCATGAGGGTTCCTCGTGCAGCGAGGTTCGTGCAGTCTTTCCGACTCTTGCACCACTGTTCAGTGCTCGATGTCGGTTTCCAGTGAAATCAGCAACTCTGCTCTAGTTGTAAATTTCAAACTTGAGAGCGCTCAGTAAGATGGCGTCTCTCACACGCTGTCGAAAAAATAGGTCAACTTTACGCTAACCGGCTCTTGGTTGTTTCTCGTGCTCGGTAAACTGGCAAGTCCCCTGGGTGTTCGTATGGCCAAAAATGAGATCCCCGGAGTACCGTGAGGGGAGGGTGAGAGAGGCCTGGCTTACAGAGTCGCTCCAGGCGTGCAAGCTTCAGCAAGTAGCACTCCGCGCCGCCAAGAGTGGTCTTCCGGGTTGACGACTTTCATTGGACCAGCGTGGCCAGGGGGCGGGGACTGACGCGACCCCCCGCAACGGTTTAAGCCTTTAGCGTCGGTCGTTGCCAGGCAGCGAGCCGATTAAAGTTGCTGAGTACGTTTTCTTACAAGGATTAAGGTTCAAGTTAATCAAAGATACTGAAACGATTTATTTTCTCGTATTAAAACAAGGGTTAAAAGATGTCAGCGTTAGAGTCTACCCTAATGCCAAGCGAGGCGTCAGTACCAACTTAAAATGAAGCAAGGTGAACCAAACGCCATGCATAAATAATGACGACTAAACGATAACCGACTGAGCTTAACTCATTGATCATGCAAAATGCTCATAGATTAAAATATAATTTATTGAGCGTGCTTTGCCGGTCTTTTACCGCGATAAGATTACGTCACACCGGTGAGTCGTTCGACCACAGAGAGCGCAGTACGTTAACTATCCACTGCACAGCCCGCAAAGATGGGAGACGAGCCCCAAACCAGGATAACAAGAATTATATATGCTTACGTTATTCTTGTTCCAATGCCGATATTTCGAAGGAAATTGAAAAGTGGATAACGTTTAAGAAAAGTGCACGTCAACGCACCCAGACCATGGCATAAAATATTTAAAAAGCCCACTCTTACTGTTCATCAATGCTTAAAGTAATTACGTTTATTTGGCTTACATGTAATTGTTGTTTTTCGTTCTTTTATAGACTATGTTTTCTCAAGACACAAAATTGTGTTTTTCTAGCTGAGAATATAAACACGGAGCTGCGTTTAAAGTCCCATTCAATTATTAAAGTGCCTGTAAAAGGCAGCTCGGCTACTGCTACAGAACCACAATGTGTAGTGCAACCAATTCTGACTACTGTATATATGAGTATTGATCAAATCTATGAGAATGATATGTTAGTTCTGCGGTCTTTATACGGGAAGTGCAACAAAAACAACAAGTAAAATAGGTAGACCTGAGGACCCCCATGTTGACTTTGAACATACCGTGGATTTCTTTTACAAATCTGACATTTTTTATACTCGTGCAGTTGATAACATACACCTTATTATTGTTATTGTGATTCTAAACGCACTTACAGCACCATTATTTAAACTTCAAGGTTTAATATAAAACAGCTGCTTTCTAGAGTTTGTGTGGTCTAAAAATTAGCGTCCCCATTCGTGCTCTTTCAAGTTTTTTATAAACGAATTATAAGAGCATAAATCCGCTGTGCAATATGCATGTGACCCAAAGTTGGTTAGGTTGTTCGTAGGCAAAGGTCTGGCAATGAAGTATTAGTTAGAAATCAAAACTTTTAAAGTTAATTGTTCATATACATATTGTCATCTCTCTCTCTCTCTCTCTCTCTCTTTTTTTTCTTTTCTTTTTTTTTGACAAATTTGAATAATTTATATTCAAGACCCAACAACTTCTTGACCATTATGAGGAGAAGTGTACACCAGCGCCGTCTGGTGATGGACTAGATAACCACAGCCACCTGCAGAAGTTAGGAGCAAGACACCCATCATACATTCTGCCATCAGAGTAATACAGTTGACAAGCCGAAGAGGGGCGATTTACCAGTTTGAAAATTAACATTGCAATTGTGGTTATCAGCTTGCAAAATATACTGTTGCTGCGTTGGAAATACATTTTTAAGAGAGAGAGAGAGAGAGGAGAGAATATATATATATATATATATATATATATATATATATATATATATATGTCATCAATACACTGAAAACTGTTGCGATCAGTTTTAAAGCAAGCTCTTGCCTTATTTTCAAACTCTGTTAAGAGGGTTATAACCTCAGACAACCTAAGCGCCACCAGAACATTGAACATTACTCACCAAACAGGTCAAATTTAGCGCTGTCTTTCCTAAGTTTTGTTGTTATGTCTACCCTGATTAGATGGTTTATTTTAACCTCAATCTTATTTATTGATTGAAGTAAAGTTAGCCCTAAGTTAAGATATAGGTGGAATACATGTTGTCTTGCAATGTGGAATTATTAAATGTATCTTCTCTTAAATCAAATATTACTCTAATAAAGAAAGAGAAAGCGAAGTAATCTCGACAACATCTTAGCCAATCATATTGCGCGTAACATAACCTAGTGGTTTGTTTACAAATGGCGGAGGACACGAGGGAGGCGGGGGTATTTCCTGCTCTACGCATTTCACAGGTAATGCATCCAATATTGAGTTTATCTTTCTAGAGGACTTGCACATATATAAAAGTTGTTCTCAAGCACTTTTATCTGCTTGTCGTTAATGTTTGCCGAATTTTGAATTTAACCTACACCTTGTTATTGCCAATGCGAACAGTAAACAACACGAACTACAGTATGTGGCACTGCTAAGAAGTTTACTTCTCTTATTCTCGTCTGTTTCAATAAAATCAGACGTCATTTGTGAAACAGACACCTGTTTGCAATTCTGCCATGATAATTTGTAATGCAGCCTGTCGATTATCATGCATGTGTTACTTAATTCAGATATCTTGAAGCCACAGCTTATGTACTTAGTCTAGTATTAAGTTTGTGTTGGAGGGGACAGGTTGCTGTGGGAGGTATAAAAGGTCTGCTGCATGAAGCTAGACTTATTATTGTCAAAACTGATGAAAATAGGCTGTGTGTCACAGATTGTGCAGTGTTTGTTTGGTTTCAACTGACTGAGTACTCAGTTCCAAATATTTCCTTCTCTGAATTTTACTGAAAACTATACAAAGCTCTCTCAAAAAATCTAGCTTTTAAAACGGTAAATGTACAGCTTATAGATCAATTCATAGTTCAGTGACTTGTTAATGATAAAAATATTTTTGTATTATTTCAGTTGGATGCCTCTGAGCTGGATCATGAAGTTCACTCTATTTTCAAAACTCAGCTCCTCAAGGCATTCAGATATTTCTCAGTAAGTTGAAAGTATTTTATAAGAAATAATCTGGATTTGGAAGAAAATGAAGTTTGTTTGTTTGTCAAAACTCTTATTTGAAATCTATCTTTTGCTGATTTTACATGTAGTTTTATCTTTCAATATTTTAAAAGTTAACATTATGTTCATGTACATTTTATTTTGCATTGGACTATATATATTTGAAAAACTTTTTATTTTATTTTGGCATTTTAGTAGATAATAATTACTGTAATCAAACTTGATGCATGTCAGAATATCAAAGATTGTTCCTTTACACATTTCAGCCAGGGTTGCTGACTAAAATTGAACCAGAAATAAATGCCGCATTGAGATTGTTAGTTTGGAAGGTAAGTGTGACAACAAGTGTGTCTTCTATATTGAAGGGTGTCCTTTACAATACATTTCATTTATGTGTTCAGCAAAAAAATGAAATTGCCTTACTATTAAAAAATGCTGATAACATCCCTTCTAAGTCAACTGAAACAGAGAATATCAAACCTGAAGCATTTCCACCTCGAGTCAAGTGCACTTTTGCAGAGAAAAAAATCCTTTGTCAATCAGAAAAAAAACAGCTGATAGTCTTTTAGCGGGGCACTGTAATTAAAGGAACTACAGTAGGAAGCCAGAATGTAATTCAACCAACTTAACATGCCCAGCTACTTTTCAATTAAAAAGAAATGATAAGTGATGATAAATCTAAAAATTTCAAACATTCCACAGCAAATTACACTCCACATAAAACAGTGCTGGAAATTAACACAGTGTGATTTTTCCCTTTTCACAGCAATTCAGTGCATTATTTCCTTGAATCATAGCACGCTAAACATACCTCGTAGTCAAACTCATAAGATGACATTCGGTGCACTTTAGATGTTTTTGTCACCTGATGACTACTTGTAGTCAGGGATGAGAGGAGATTCAGCCCAGCCTTTTCCTCTGTAAAAGAAGATGCTGATGGACTCCGCTGAAATGTTATACAGGCTGGTATGCAGTATGTGAAGCTAACATGTGTAGCCAACAAACTGTCAAATTTATTTTCAAAATTTGAGCTTTTATACAATGCAATATTTAGCACCTTAGAGTGAGTCATAAATGTAATAACACTTAACACATTCACTCATCCAACACAATGTGGAATCTTACCCATTGTCACAACTAACACACTTTTACATCCTACAGATCACCCAACACAATTTGGAACCATTCTCAGAGTCACAACTAATGCAATCATGCCAATGTTACATCTCATGGATTGTGTTCCCCAATGCTGTCTATTAAACAAACATATGGAATTCTGACACACCAAGTATAAGCTGTTTCGTCTCCCACACTGTGACAGCAAACTCATTCAGACAATTATTTGATAACTGCTGATGTTGACACAACCATAATTTAGAACATAAGTGATTTGCTGTTATAAAACAAATACATGGGGGTGCTATAAATTAGATAAAAGTTTTGGCCCATCTTTCTTCCTTCCTTAATCTCTCATTTTTAAAAAACAATTTTCTTGAGTTTTTATTATTGTGATGTGTATGTCATGAGTCTCTTGTCAATGAGTATTTTTCGATTGTAGACAAATATCTACTGGTAATTTTTTTCATAAAGATAATGTAAAGTTGGATAGTATGATAAAGTATAGCCTTAGCCATTATTAGGTTTCTGTAACATTTGACAAAAATTTCACATGCCATCATGACCCAAATTAGCAACCTCTTTGCCTGCTTGCACCCATAATTTATCGCTACAGCAGAAAACCAGGCAATTGTAAACAATTGAAAATTATGCTGCAATAGTAAGAATTGTATGTGATCCGGCGAGACCCAAGCTCATTAATATTCCTGAACATGTCCCCTGCTGAGGAGGGAATACAACAAACAACTGTATGATATACCAATTAAATCCTGAACAAGTGTGCTAGTTTCAGTAAAAAGGTGCTGTGTATGTTATTGTTTTTTTAGTGGAAAAAAATTTGTAGAAATGGTGGGCATTTGTAGATATTTATTTTAGAAAGGTGATACTTATATTGTTGTAATTTTTTCAGCACTGAATGTTTGTACATTTGGTAGAAAAGTGCTGCGTTTTTTCAGTACTTTTCATGAAAAAAAAAAGACCAAAAGAAAATGTTGAAATATGTAAACATTCTGTTTAATACTTTCAGTTGGATAGTGTTACTCAAAAATATTGTTGACATGCAAAGCCATGTTCTTTTTCTTCCTCTTATTATTATTAAGCAGTAACAAATATATGACTGTATATTGTTCCACTTGAATCTATAACATGATTTTTATACCTGGTTCAACATTTTTCATCAACAGGAAATTCCTGGAGTGCACATACAGCCCCTAAATCTTACCTCTATCAGCCCTTCCAAGTACCCACTGTCCCCTGGATCCATTGTTTTCTAAGAAGTTTATTCCTAGGAAATATCAGCTATTTATCTGTTATTCTGGGTGACAGGTGCCTGGAAATTTGACGGTTGCAGTGTCAGCTGGGATTACAGCTACGCGAAAGTGTTACCTTTTATCTTTTTTTTCCCTCAAGGATCTGATCCTTAAGGTTTAAGTCAGCCAGTTAAGTGTGTTTGCTTGGCTGTATTCTTGGCCAAATGTCTCTAGATGTGACACGTTGTTAAGACGGCTGTCAACTGTGATGTCGCAGTGTCACGAAGATGTCAGTTTTGTCACTTGATCAGTAGAGGTTCAGAGCCAGCAGCTGCTGCTGATTGCAGTCTTGCACCTTTCCACAAGCTCCTGGGAGGTTGTCTGGAAAATAAGGTGCAAGGTTTGAACCCTGTTCCAGAGACTGAAGTCAGCTGATGACTGTACACAAACCTTGGGAGAGCGTATCGAAGTTAGCTACCACTTCCTGTGCCTTGCGTAGCAATAACACACTGTAATACCTGGGAAATCTTTGATAAACCTATTGATTGTTACATTAGCCCTGCCATTGTGTTCACACACAGTGCAGGCAGCAACAATGCCTCATTGCTTATATTTCAATTATGTTTTAAGAGGCAGATTGTGTTTTATTCAATGGCAGCTGCTGATTTGTTTGTTGCTGGGTGTTTTTCTCATTAAGTGGAGCGTGTACATTAAACTACAGGTCCATGCAAACCGGGACCATTGACTTAAGACCTTTATGCTGGGGATTTAAATCAGTCTACCCTGCCAAGTTCAATTATTATAATTTTATTTTTCTTCTACAAGTGCTGTAATATAACTTAATATGCAGGGCTGTTGTAAGGTTAAATCTCAGGATTAATGATGTGTGCTTTTTACTTTTTTTCAAGTACTAATAAAAGTAATTTGACAGTTTGAATTCTAATATGAATTCAGTAACAAGGCTTCCTTATCGTAAATCTGGATCCTTAGATATGGATTTCATACATGATATTACATTGTGGATTATATGTTATGTAGTCATACTAACAGACCCATGCAATGAAACTTAACAGGTGTCTGCCTCAAGTTCACACTAAGTAAAGTTTAACATTCTGCTGCTGTCTGATATTTAAAGGACACTGGCCCAAAAAAGGGCGAAGAGAAGGAGAAAGAAGACTCAATGACATTATTTTGGGAAACCATTTTAATGGCAGTTTTTAAATTGCTTACAATGCCTTGATTGATTAAAATTGTCTGTGTAAAATGGAAATAATCACTTCCGAAATTAATTAATATGACATCTTCTTGTTTTTGTGTTAAGATCTATGATTATTTTTTGGATTGTTTAATAAAAACCATGAGTGTTGTCTGCAAGTAGTACAGAGTCCTGTTCTACATATAAAAATGGTAGAACTAATCATGTGAGACTATTTTCTACACAAAATGAATTGTACAATTTATGAGTTAAAGGGCAGTATCTGTGTAGTAGAGAGGACCTTGCAGAGGAATGTTTTTTTTTAAATAATAATTTATTTATTTTTCTATTTCAGTTTTCTCTGGATGCTGTTGAAGCTACAATAGGACAACAGATGTTAGGTCTGAGATACAAGGATAATACAGGCAGTTCCAGATGCGTCAGGTGGATATCCAGAAAGCAGAGGATATGGTATGCTGTCCTCACTGTGGGGGGGCCTTGGTTGAAGGAGAGATCACATGACTTGTCAAAAATGACACAAAATATCAGGCATATTGACAAGGTAGGATTACTGCTAGGATTGTGTGATTTTAACATTATCATTGAGCAGACACCCCGAGTTTCAAGCAGAGTTTTACTGGCAATTACTCTATATAACCAACTTGCCTCTATTTTTACTCTGACGTAGAATTGCTGACTATAAAGGTCTTTTTCAATTCAACTCCGAGATTCTGTGTGTCTGTCTAATACTAACAGTAAAGGGTTAAAAAAAATAGCGACGACTATACTTGGTTCACTTTATATAGGTATTTGGATTTTATTTGCAGGCAGAATTAACAAATTCATCATTTCTAATTGAAATTCTTCCAGAGTGTATACTGTATTGATTAGTCTGCCTGTCTGTCTTTCTCTCTCTCTCTCTTGCTTGTGCAAATGTCTGCATCTACATGTATATTCATGTAACTATATAAATTTTTCTTTAACACAACATTTCAGTTCTGGAAGCTGTTAGACTGGCTCAGTGACCTGTGGAAAATTGCCACACTTGCAAACTTTCTCATCTTCCTACAGAAAGGAAGCTATCAAATGCTGATAGAGAGAATTCTGGGAATTCAGGCAGTATTTCCCAGAATGCAAGAGGCTAGGCAGGTGAGTTCAGCTTACTGGAGAATGTTGGCACAAAAACAGTTTTGAATCTTTGCAGGGCATAAATTGATTTTTCATTCACCATTCAAGTCTGAATTGATACCCATCACAACACATGTTGCTACATTGGTTTGTATTTGATTGTTAATTTTTGAAAGCATTGATAATTTACTATAGACAATGTCATCTTACGTTGAAAAATGTGTTTTCAGGTCAGCTTTGACTACATGAGCAGAGAATTGCTATGGCATGGATTTGCAGTAAGTTTAAACTATTTTTTTTCTGTTATTTAGTAATTAATATTGATTCCTTCGCCCTCTTCCTTTTAAAAGTCAGTTTTTGATTTAAAGTGCAAATTTACCTTCAGAACATTTCTGGTCAGTGACATTTTTTTTTTGCTTATGTGATAACATTTTTTAATAAATAGATAATACCATAATATTGCTTCTTATAAACCAAGTATTTTAGTTGATGAATATTTAATATTTGCAAAGCTTTTGAAAACTGATAAAATACCAGATGCACTTAAAACATCTTTGTGTATTTATAATTATCACTTTCTCTTTCTTTACTTCCAGGAGTTTTTATTCTTCATGCTTCCTCTCATCAACTTCAGAAAAATTAAAAATGCCGCATTAAGGCTCCTGTTAAGACCATCCAGCCCTGGGGAGCCCTGTGGTCAACCCAGGTGTCCAGCAGATTACAAGGAGTGTGCGATATGTGGACACTGGCCAAATAACCCACACCAGTTAGGATGTAGACATGTGTTCTGTTATTATTGTATACAGGTATGTATTTATATTGTATATGTAGACACTAACAACCCACACCAGTTAGGATGTAGACATGTGTTCTGTTATTATTGTATACAGGTATGTATTTATATTGTATATGTAGACACTAACAACCCACACCAGTTAGGATGTAGACATGTGTTCTGTTATTATTGTATACAGGTATGTATTTATATTGTATATGTAGACACTAACAACCCACACCAGTTAGGATGTAGACATGTGTTCTGTTATTATTGTATACAGGTATGTATTTATATTGTATATGTAGACACTAACAACCCACACCAGT